TCCCTCTCCTTCTGCCTGTCACTTCCCCTGCTTGTGCACTCTCTCTCTCTGTCAAATAAAAAAAAAAAAAAGATTGGCCCAAATCCAGAACACTGACAACGCCATGTGCTGATGAGGGTGAGGAGCAACAGGAACTCACTCCCATTCATTGTTGGTGGGAATGAACAATGGGGTCCAGCCACTTTGGAAGATAGTTTCTTACCAAATTAAACATACTCTTACCATATGATCCAGTAATCAAGCCTCTTGGCATTTACCCCAAAGAGTTGAAAACTTATGTCCACATGCAAAAACCTGCACACAGATGTTTATAGCAGCTTTATTCATAATCGCCCAAACTTGGAAGCAATCAAGATGTCCTTCAGTAGCTGAATGGATAAGTAAACTGTGGTCCATCCAGACGATGGACTATTATGCAGGGCTAAAAACAAATGAGCTATCAAGCCATATAAAGACATGGAAGAACCTTAAGTGTATATTACTAAGTGAAAGAAACCAATCTGAAAAAAAGCTACATACCATATGATTCCAGCTATGACATTCTGGAAGGCAAAATTATGGGGACAGTAAAAGAATCAGCGGTTGCCAGAGGTCGGGGAGGAGGGGGGAGGGGACGAACAGGCAGAACAGGGTTTTTAGGGCAGTGAAACTATTCCATGTGATACTATAATGGTGGATACAGGTCATCATACATTTGTCCTAACCCATACCATGTAGGACACCAAGAGTGAGCCCTAATGTGAACAATGGACTCTGGGTCATAAATAACGTGTTGATGTACGCTCAGGGATTGTGACAAATGTCCCTCTCTGGTGGGGACTATTGGTAGTGGGGGAGGCTTCCGTGTGGGGAGAGGAATATACTGGATCTGCACTTCCTGCTCAATTTCACCATGAACCTCAAACTGCTCTTTAAAAAAAGATCTATTTAAAAAAACTAACAATCAAACTGAAGGTAAAATAAAACTCCAAAGGGGCATTTGCCTGTAGATCGAAAGTGGCCTCTCTGCATCTTGCCTCCTTTTCTCTAAAGGCTCCAACAGGCCAAAATTATAGCAAAAATCATTATTTACAGAGCCTTGTGCTTATTTCCAATACCGCATTGGCTGCAAAAACAAGAGTGTCCCACGCACGCACCTACACACACACACGCACACCCCTTGTTTTTGCAGTAGCTCTCCCTGATCTGGATGATCTCTCTAGCGTGTATTACAAGCATACAACATTTTATTGTTTTGTATTCTTTCACAAGATGGTGTGTTGGGTGCAGGCACAAGGGGAGATGGAGGAGAGGCTCGGGAAACTGGTTTATTACACTCGGGTCCGGGAGACAGGAGGGGTGCCGCGCAGGGTCCCATGGGAAAGACAGCATGGCCAGGAGGCAGGAGGCAGGAGGCAGGACGTAGGGGAAGGTTTAAGCCACGGCCTTTATTGGGGTTCCTCTGGAATGGCAGGGCAGGGTGAACCATTTAGGACTGGTCAGTGTGCGTGATTTCAGTAGGGGTGGTCCCTAGTTGCCTGGGCCTTGGGCGATGAGGCTGAGGAACAGTGCCTGGAGCCGGTTGGAGGAAGTCTGGCTCTGGATTGGTTCGTTTGTGTATCAAAGGCATTCTCAGGCTGGGTTCTTTGCTGTCTCTAAGAATTGGCTAGAAGGCACAATGTCTCCCTAGCCAAAAAGGTCTTTTTTTTTTTTTTTTTTTTAAAGATTTATTTATTTGAGAATGAGAGAGATCATGAGCAGTGGGGAAGGGTAGAGGGAGAAGCAGGCTCCCCACTGAGCAGGGAGCCCGACGTGGGGCTCTATCCCAGGACGCTGGGATGAGAACCTGAGCCAAAGGCAGAGGCCTAACCGACCAAGTCACCCAGGCGCCCCAAAAAGGCCTTTTAAGCTCTCAAAATGTCATAATATATAGAAAACAAACCAACGTGTGTGTGTGTGTCTCTGTGTGTGTGTGTGTCTGTGTGTATAATCTCAGGACTACCCCATGCTCAGATATTTGCCAGGACTCATGAAACTCAGTACATAGTTGTACTCACAGTGGTGCGGTTGTAGGCACAGCTGGATCATAAGGGAAAAAGATACAGACACTGGAGGGTTATGGGCAGGTTCCTTGGGTCCTCTCCCTCCCCTGAGGGGTCATGCAGAGTGTACTCTTGACCCAGCAACAAAAATGTAGCAGCAGGTGTGTGATGCCCAGGGAAGCTCATCAGAGAGAGACTCAGCACCCCAGGGTTTCACTGGGGGGTTAGTCCTAGAGACACCTTCTTTCTGCCTGGCTTGTACCAAAATCCCAGACCCCCAGAATGACAGCAAGTGTTCAGCATAAACCATACTGTTTGCACAAATAGTCTAAGCGCCAAGAGCCACCCTTATCAGTTAGGTAATGGTGGGAACACTTCCAAAATTCAAGTTCCCAGATGCCAGCTAAGGACCAACTTTGCAAACAGGCCTTTTTTTTTTTTTTTTTAAGATTTTAGTTATTTATTTGACACGGAGAGAGAGAGAGCACAAGCAGGGGGAGTGGCAGGCAGAGGGAGAAGCAGGCTCCCCACTGAGCAGAGAGCCCGACGTGGGGCTCGATCCCAGACCCTAGGATCATGACCTGAGCCGAAGGCAGATGTCCAACTGATTGAGCCAACCAGGCATCCCAGCAAAAAGGTCTTCCTTCCTTCCTTCCCTTCTTTCCTTCCTTCTTCTTTCTTTCTTGTCTTTCTTCCTTCCTTTCTTTCTTTCTTTCAAGAGAGAGAGGTGGGAAGAGGGGAGGGGAAGAGAGAGAATCTTAAGCAGGCTCCATGCCCAGCACGGTGCTCGATCTCATGACCTTGGGATCATGACCTGAGCCAAAATCAAGAGTCAGATGCTTAACCGACTGAGCCACCCGGTCGCCTTGCCAACAGGTCTTTCTAAGGCAAGGCCAGCTAGCTTAGACCTTTGGGGCAGTTATTAAATTGACATGACCATCACGATTTGGATGGTTGTACTGTGGTTATGCAGGAGAATGTCCTCAGATGTAGAAAATACACACAAAAGAATTTTGCAGTGATGCTGGAAATGTACTATATGTTTCAAGGGGAAAAGGCTTTGTGCCATACCTATAACTTCTCTGTTATGTTTAAGATTGTTTCAAAATAAAAAAGTATTGGGCGCCTGGGTGGCTCAGTTGGTTAAGCGACTGCCTTCGGCTCGGGTCATGATCCCGGAGTCCCTGGATCAAGTCCCGCATCAGGCTCCCTGCTCGGCGGGGAGTCTGCTTCTCCCTCTGACCCTCCCCCCTCTCATGTGCTCTCTCTCATTC